AAAAATCGGGATGGGGGTGAGGGGTAATAGGAGCCTATATAAGAAAAAGACCCAAAAATCGGGACTGTCCCTATAAAATCGGGACATCTGGTCACCCTACTCTTAGCAGTTCTGAGCTGGTATGTTTTTCTATTAGGGACAGTCCACATTTCCACTGTACATTACAACATATTGCATGACCAGTTCTGTCTGATCCTTATGAGGGCCACATAAATTGGGAAAGCTCCTTATTTCCTCTCCTCCATTGTGCAGTCACATAAGGGTCAACTGCAGCCCAGCCGTTAGTGTTTATGAAGTGCTTTGAAACCCTTCAATGGAAAACATAGAAGTGCTAAGAATTAGCAACAAAGACTCCCACAAACATATCAAACCTGTCCTCTGCCCTCTACCGTGGCTTCTCATAGAATTTCAAATCAAATTCTTAGTCCTTATTTTTGAATGCTCCATGAGCTGGGCTCTGGGTATCTAAAGATCGTTTCATGATTTGGAATGAAGACCTTGGTTGACAACTACCATCCTTGGGTAGTGGAACTGTCAACAATAAGAGTAAAGCTTGTCTGTGCAGAAGACAGAACTTTCTCCGGGGCGGACTGAGACCATGGAATTAACTTCTCCAGGAACTAAGAACCATCATGAACCGCACTGCTTTCCACTACAAGTGCAAGGCACATTTCTTTGACCTTGCCTTCTCTACTATAAACACATAGCAACAGATAGATTTATATTTAAAAAAATAAACTACCAAAAAAAGACACTCTACTGCACACTCTTCTCCCTCTGGGGAGAGGATGAGAGAACAAACAGCGTGTGACAGATTTGTAGTCATGTTGCTTAATGCACTGTTGGAAAATGCTCAGATACTACAGTGATGAATGCAGTATAAAAACCTATCTAGCATTCTCACTTCTAACTGGGAGACCTGGAAATAGTAGCATGGTGCACATAGTTCAAATGTACTAGTCTGTGGCTGACTGGCAGCTACTGTATTGTGTAAGCCTTAGCAGAGATTGTTAACCATTGGGATAATCTTTATTATTAGCTTCATATTTTACTGAATTGAATGAACACTGTACTGTGATTAATGCAGGAAGAATGTCTTCCAGTTTTTACTAAGGACTACAGTCGATGTGTATTGTATTGAACTTAAACATACTCAAAAAGAAAAGAGGAAGATTCTGATGATGATATCAATAACTCATGGATTGCTCTGGGTCTGGTTGCTATTTAAACTAAAACACAGACAAGGCCACCAATGAGAATCATGTACTGGAAGAGAAGTAGGAATGTGTAAGACTAAAAGTCAATGACTATTTATCTTTCCATGGCACTCTGAATAACATTCCATTTACATTTCTTACAGCAAGTACCCTGTATTTTGCACCTGGAAACACACACACACACATTTTATGTCCGCTAATGGAAACATTAAATTTTCAATTTATTTGATCATGTTCAATTACAGATACCCTGTTTCCCCGAAAATAAGACAGTGTCTTATATTAATTTTTGCTCCCAAAGATGCGCTAGGTCTTATTTTCAGGGGATGTCTTATTTTTCAGAAATGAAAAATGCCTTATTATCGGTGGATGCCTTATTATCGGGGAGGTCTTATTATCGGGGGGATGCCTTATATTACAACGAGAGGCAAAACTGTAAGTAGGCCTTATTTTCGGAGGATGTCTTATTTTCGGGGAAACAGGGTATATTGATAACTTCCAACTCAACAGGGTATGGATATAAATTCTCATTCCTCAGAGAAACAGTTTTGAAATATTTAAAGTATATTCATTAGTTGGATAAAGTAATATTTGTACTTTGGCAGTTTTGAGGATAAGTTGTAAGAATAATGCAGCACTCAGTTTGCAAGGAGGCCATGTCCCTTTTGGATTTGCCAGGATGACGATACATGAAAAATGCAGAATAGTTATACTTCTGCATAAAATGCATAACCAAACAAGAAATCATAGAAATATACACTTTTGATATTATTCAGGATATGCATGTGTCTGAGAAACCGCTTCTGAGATGCTACAATAATAAATCCCTATCCAGAAGAGTATCTGGCTGCTGGATAAATAAATAGATTAGATTTATAAAAAAATATTTTTTCTGTGATATATGTGGAATATACAGAATATGATGTGATGGTAGTGTACTATAAATAAATTAATTAATTAATGGAGATATCCCATCTCCTAGAACTGGAAGGGACCTTGAAAGGTCATCGAGTCCAGCCCCTGCCTTCACTAGCAGGACCAAGTACTGATTTTGCCCCAGATCCCCAAGTGGCCCCCTCAAGGATTGAACTCACAACCCTGGGTTTAGCAGGCCAATGCTCAAACCACTGAGCTATCCCTCCCCCCTATAAATGTTTTTAGTCGCTCTCATTTGAAATGAGTGGCATAACTCAGTTGTGGCTTTGCCAATCGTGAATAAGAGTAATGTGGTTACATCAGATTCATAGCAGTAAACCTTTGTAACACTATACTTTCATGTAGTTGTGTCCTCTCTGACATTTCCTATCATTCTGAGTGTTAACAGTGCAACTTGTAATGTTCTGCTAATGTAGATTTTTGTATGGAAAGTTTAATATAACAAAGGGAAAATTAATTGGCTGGTGTACACTGCTTAATGTAATTTTAATTTAAGAGGGAAACTTTAAAAAAAGTTTTTCTTCAGATCTTTAATTAACAGTTTGTCTTTGTTAGCTAAGATTAATGTTGACAATTTGGCAGGGACCTAAATGCCACACCTAAATTGCATAAAATGAAGCTGATTGCTGTAGCTACAAGTTAATATAGAGAAGTGGCCTGTGATGTGAGAATGAAGAAAACGATTCTTTCTGCGATTCCTTACCAAAGACTCAACCAGGAAAAAGTAATAATCTAATGCTACACACTTTCTCTGCTTCACTGTTCAGCTTCTATCTAGAACCTTCCTCAAATGGCCCCTGTAATTGTTTCAGTACAAATCACCTAGTCTCATATCAACTCCTAACCCACTTTTGTCCCATAAAATATATTTAGCAAGAATTAACATTTAACATTAGATTATAGATCCAATTTTCACCAGCTTCAATACTTGTCCAGATTAAGTCATCTTCTGACTGTGTTCCACAGTCTAATTATGTCTTGTGTGAAAAAGTATCTCCTTTTATCACTTTTGGATTTACCACCTTTCATGTAATTGAATACCCCTTCTATTCTTGAGACAAGGAGAACAGGAGCTCCCAGTCTACTTTGGCCAGATCATTAATTATTTTGTATATTTTTGTCATGTCCCCTGTTATTCATCTCCTCTAATATAAACAATCCTAGGCTACTCAAGAGTTTGTCCATGCCTCTAATTGTTCTTAGTGACCCCCTATGTATCTCTTATTTTTCAAAATCCCTTGTGAAATGGGTGATAATATTCCTGTTGAGGCTGCACCATATATACAATGGCATATTTTCTGTATTATTCTTCACCCTATTCCTTATGCATCCTAACATTTTGCTTTTTTTTTGTTTTTACTCTACCTGCACATTGATCAAAGATCTTTATTGAGCTGTTGACAATAATGCCCATGTCATTTTCCTAAACTGACACAATTAATTTAAATCCCATTACATAGAATCATAGGACTGTAAGGGACCTCGAGAGGTCATCATGTATAACTAGTTTGATTTTTCCCTCTAATGAACATTATTATTTATAAATGCGAAGTAATAATAAAAGGTTAACTTAATTTTCCTTCATGTTGCCCATTCATCTAGTCTGGGTAGGTTCTCTGAAGATTTCAGTATTCCATGGCCTTGACTAACCTGAATAATGTTATGTTATCTGCAAATATTGACATCTCATTGCTTACCTCCGTTTTCAGATCATTAATAAATATATTAAGCAATATTGGTTCTAGTACAGAATTGAATGACATTCTGCTGCTAACCTTTTGTCATGATGGAAATTGACCATTCATTCCTATACTGTTTCCTGTCTCAGCCAATTTTTGATGCATGACAATACTTTACCTCTCACTTCAGACTTAGTTTCCTCACTGGCCTCTTGCGAGAGACTTTGCCAAAGGTCATTTGAAAGTCTAAATAAATTGTCAACCAGTTCTCCTTATCCACTATTTAACTGGCTCGTTCTAAGAATTATAAATGCGTAGTGAAGCAAAATAGTTATCTCCTCCCTCAGTGAAGGAAAATGATTTATAAATATTTTTAGCTTTGCTCCCCCTTGGATTAAATATTGAATATTTAATCACTGTGCTAAACTTGGTTGCAGTTAGAAATCTGGTGAACCCTTCTTTCAACTCAGGCCACTGCATTGGCCTATCAAACTGAAAGCCTGGTGGAGAGTTGAAATTTGGTATTTAATTTTCCTTTCATTTATGCTGGTTCAAAATGAGTCAACTTCTGACACTGTGCCATGTGACAACAGGAAGGACTGCTTTCTTCTAACACCAAACACAGAACTTTTATTAGTATCAGGAAAACAGTATTTGCTTGTTATGGTTAAATCCCTAACATCATTCCCTCTCATTTTCTGCTTTAAGGGGTGGAGCTGGGGGGCTTCTGTGTGGAATCTTCCCTAATCCCTTTTCTGCTATAGATTTTAAAAAGTAGTGCACATAGCCTCATAAAAATCATGCCATGCTCCATCTTGATTTACGGTGGTCTGCTCAGGCAGAACTTTTCATCCTGGGACCTGTCGTCTCTACAGATGCTACCTTTCTCTTTTAGAAATGATGTATATATAGCAGGCGGGCCAGGGTTTGGATGGTAGTTCATGGATTGGCTGGTGTATGTACACATTGCTCAGACACATCTCTGAAATGAGCTGTGAACTAAGCAATAACTGACTTCCGTGTAGCAGAGAAAAAAACAGCGAGTTAATTAAGGAGAGAGATCAATGTTCGTAAAGCAGGCCGAAGATGAACAGTGGTGCTGGAAGTGGGGGTTCTGGGAGTGCTGCTGCACCCACTATCTTGAAGTAGTAGTAACAAACACCAAATACATGATTTCCATCATCAGCACCCCCACTATAAAAATTGCAGCATCCCTGAAGATGTATAAATGCAAAGGATGAGTTATTAGAGGCACTCAGGTGGTCTGGATCAGAGTAGGCAGGCTCCCCACGGGGCGGGAGTGGAAAGGGGCCCTAACAAAAGCAGCCTGGGGTAGCGTCCAGAGATGGCCCTTCCAGATGTGCCACATGTTTAATGTATTGTGGACTGGAACCTGCCCCACTGAACGCGAGCGATGGGGAAACAATCACAGGCGAGGGCTATGCGTAGCTACGTTTCCCCCGCTCCTTCCTTTTTCTCTGTGTCGACCAACCGCAGCAAGAGGGTGCGCGCGCCTCAAACCCTCTACCCGCGCAGTTGAGCGCGAGCTGTTCCCACTGCCAGCGGCGGTTGGGCAGTTGCGATCGTTGGGTCTGTCAGGCCGGGCGCGCGCGTAGTCACTTGCGCCGCAGACGCTTCAATCGTAGGCGGGGGCGCGCGCGGTCGTTCATCACCCGGCGCCTGCGCGGATGGGCCCATTTCCCCCCCTTCTACAGAGAGAGGAACTTATGCGCATGCGTTTTCTACCTTCCTTCTCTGTTTGTGGTGGTGCCTGCTGTTCCCTCCCCCACCTCGGGTCAGGTAGCCGCTACTGAATGACAGTAATCCAGACCGGGTGAGCTGCAGCGGCGGCGGCCCCGAGCGCGGGAGCCCGCCTGGCGGACGGAGTGATTCCTTCCCCGCTCCGTCTCCTTCGCAGGTAAGCCAGGGGATGCACCCCCGCCACACACACACTTCCCCGACGTGAGGGAGGTCGCTGGGCCGGTGCCGCCTCTCCGGGGAATTGCGGCTGGGTATTGTCCAGGAGGTATCTCCTCCGCTCTCTGCAGCCCTAGAAGGAGGATAAACCGTCGCTTGGATTCCGGGCCGCAGGGTTGCAGGGCGGGGACTGGAGGCGCACGGTCCCCTCCCAGATCCGGGGAAGGTCCGGACCCCCCAATCCGGACCCTCTGGAGTCGGGACGGGGGTCACTGACACCACCCTCCACCCACACCCACGCGTGTGGTCCCCCACGCCCCAGAGACACGCCTGGGCGACGGGGGAGTTGGACTCCGGCCTTGGCCCGTGCTGGCATGGGGCGCGCGGTGGGTGAAACGGGGGTAGTTACGGCATAAGCCCCGCCAGGCCAGGGCAAAGCGTGCGCTGTGTGAATGGGGCTGGAACGCCCAATTCCCGCCCGTGTGTGAACAGGCCGGGGGGACCGACCATCTCCTAGGGTGGGATGGGCGTATGGAGCGTCCCCGACTCAGCCAGCCCACCTGCCGTTTGAATGGGGCTGCGCGATGGCGAGAGGGGTATGATGTGAATAGGGAACATGGATCAAAAGGCACGTGTTTGGAAGGTGGGCTACCTTGGCCTGCCTCCCATGCCGGACTAGAGGACCCACAGTTTGAAAGGGCCTGAGCCTTGGCCAGGTTAATGCGCCGGTGTTCCTGTTAATTGGTCTGTGTGTGTGCTCATTAGATGGGGATACACAAGAGCTCAAACCGGGTGCGAGTAAGAGCGTGCACGGTTTGAATGAAGCTTTTGCTTATTGACAGCAGTATGGAATGGTCGGTCTATGTTTTAAGAGAATTAGAGCTTTTGTGGTTTTAATGCATTAGTTGTGAGGTGTGGGTACAGGGTAACTAACTGAGCCTGTTGGTGAGTTAAAGCACCTAGGGTTTGAATGGGTCTTTGTGATCATGAGATGGGGTTATGGAGCAGCTTGGGTTGCAAAATGGATTATAGCATGCACTCTTTGAATTAGGATGGGTTTGGAGTGCTGCACTACCATGGAGACTTTTATAATGAAGAGGGAAAGTTTGGGTGACAGAATCCTGAAGTTCAACACTCCTGATGCCACTGGCCTGCACCTGGAAACCACTGCAGTAGAACAGAAATAGGTGTTGGGTCATAGACACTAGTCCTTTTTGGAGATGTGGTTCTGGGAGGGATGTGTAGGCTAAACAAAGAATTAGATGCAACTGTCTCAGGCAGACTAGTGACAGACAACCATTTGCTCTTAAATGCGCAGTTGGAGACTACTTCAGTTACTGTTTCACACAGACAGTCCAGTATATTCAGAGAGCTGCATTCTCAGAGGCAATTTAGCACAGCTGTTACTTTGTTTGGATGGTAGGGGGAAGGGAAAACTGTGCTAATATAGATGGAAAAGAGGCAGATAAGACACTGGATTCTAATCAAAGAGAAAATAAAGTGCGAAAAACAAATATCCAGATAATAGAGAATTCATAAACTCTTGCAGTTCTCCTGTTTACTGGGTTCATTTCAAGATTGGCAGTTGCTATAGGGGACTATTTTAATGAAGTTAACTTTTTTATAAAAAATTAAGTTCTTTCTATCTGTAACAATCTTATCTACCCCAGTTCTATGTTTAAATTTTTAAATAAAATTGGCACATTTTTCAGTCCATTAATGTAAGGTATTACCGTCATACCAGTTGTAACCGTGCCTTTTTTTTTAACTCTACACAGTGTTGTAAACTCATAATAAGGAAACAAATGGTAAAATTAAAAACATTTGTCTCCTCTCATGTTCTTTTGAACTATGTTAAATATATACTACAAGCTTTAGAATCCTTAAAAATAGTAGGACTTTCATGTACACCACCATTTCAACATATACTGTACTGACTTGGACCCTGATTATATCATACGGTCTGCATGCGGACCATAACTCCTATGATGTAGAGCTTCATTTACTCCTGGAGGAATTCTGCGCCAAAAAATTAAAAGTTCTGCACACAATATTTTAAAATTCTGCATAATTTATTTGTAAAAATAATGAAATATAATCATGCCAGTTTCAATTATTTTGGTAATTTATTTAAACTACAATACAATGGATGGAGAATGGGAGTGAGGAGCATTGGAGGAAATCTCCATGCCCCTTTTGTCTAATAGTAATGTAGCTAGGTTTTACTCTTTATTTCTAGTTATTAGTCAACAAGTATATGCAGCCATAACATCAGTGTTACGCCCTAGGCAACTGAAAGAGCAAGTGAGGGTTGGGGTGTCAAACTCACAATTTATATTGGCTACTGACCATCTCCAGAAAGGCCAGTAGTAAACAGTTCATAGATCACATTGATAGGAAGTTTTTTCAGCCCCAAAATTTAGATCAGTTCTAATCACTAAAGCACCATAAGCATTTATAAGGCCATACAGTTATTTACAAAAGGCTCCTTTACACTACTCTGGCAATGTAAAGGAATCTTAAAACTTGTGCACCCATTTTATACTCCTGGGGGAATTCACTAAGAACATTGGGAACAATTAAGTAAGCAGGCTGCTACATCCTGCTGTGCCCCATGCCTGCCTCCTCAGAAACACCCTGAAGCCTTGCCCCACTACGTCAAGCATGCTGCAATAGCGAGCAAGAGGGGGCAGAATGTCTGTCTGTCACTGGCATGCATGCCCTGCCCCCTCAGTGGTGATTGGTGTCTTCCCACGCCCGCCCTGTCCTGGCCCCCCACCCTCCTGGGGATAATTGATGTCTTTGCTGGCTGTTCCGGGTGCCAGAACTGACGTGCCAGTCCTGCTGGGGAGGAGTGCGTGACCACTCTTGCAGCTTCTCTTTCTGCCACGTCAGAAGTCATTTTTTCCACTGGGAAGCAAAAAAAATCTGCAGGGGACATGAATTCTGTATGCGTGCAGTGGTGCAGAATTCCCCCAGGAGTATCTATGGGGGGCTCCATGCTGGTGCAAGAAGCTGCTTGTATAGATCAGATTGTAGCATCAGGGTCTAGTGGATAAATAGTAGTCCCTGAGTTGGTATTTCTTGGTCTTTTTCAGAAGTACTGCCCCTTGTTTTGAAGCAATTTCTATGGAAAAATGTTGCATTTATCTGAAAATTTTATTTAATAACACTATACCACTTTCTTCTGCAGGTGAATCATTTACAAATGCAAAAATGTTTGCATTTTTTAGCCCCCTACCTACCTCACTTTCTTTTCTTTGCCAGCGAAGAGAGTTAGGAACCTCTCTTTCATGTGAAGAGGACTCTGCTTTTACTTAAAAAGGACTAAGACCTTCTGTACATCTTAACATTTGTGTTACTGGGGAGAGCTGTAAAACATAGAGTATTTCCACTCAGAGGTTTTTGCAGTTCTAAGGTTCAAGTTTCCTTCCCAACAGGGATGAAGTCTCATTGCACACTGAGGCTAGTTCCACACTAAAAAGTTAGGTTGACCCAGCTATGTTGCTCAGGGGTGTGAAAAATCCACACTTCTGAGCGTTGTGGTTAAGCTGACAACCCCTGGTGTAGACAGTACTAGGTCAATGGAAGAATCAGAATGAGAAGAATTAGAGTTCTTCTGTTGACATAGCTACTGCTTCTTGTGGAGATGGATTACCTATGCTAATAGGAGAACCACTCCCATCGGCATAGGTGGTGTCTACACTGTAGTGTTACAAGTGTAGACAAACCCTCAAATACTGCAATGCTGGGTAGCATGTTGCCTGGGTAGCATGTCTGAGATAAATACCTATAGGAGAGAGATGTTGAGTAGCCACTAGGAGTTCAGTACACATCTTCCCTAAATACCCTGTGTTAGATCTTGATTCCCGCTCTGATGCTAGATTTCAGCAAGCAGTGGTTTGGTACTTCTTTACCTAAAGAACTCCTCAATCCATTGTCTGTTCTATGTGGTGTTGCTTGCCACTCTTCCACAAGCTGGAATACTGTACATAGAGGCCCTCATAAAAGGAGAGGCTACTTTCTGGTAACTGTTGTACGAGAGTTGCCTCTGTGCATTCACACTTTCCTTCTACGTTGGGGTTCTTAACATACTATTTGGCTCCATAAGAAGGAACTGAAGTGTTTGGTGGCCGTACTGTTATATATACTCAGATGTTCAATGCTGATGTCAATAGAGGGTCACCATGTAGTCCCAAAGAACACAGCTTTGCTAGGGATTGATTCCAAGAGCTTGATGCCATTGGGCGCCAACCCCCAAGTGGGAATACACAAAGAATATCAGTTGCCAGCAGGGTGGATTTGATTTAAGTCACTAGTTAGGAAGACTCGATTTAATCATGGATTTCTACATAAAAGTGCATTCTTGTTGGTTGTTATAATCTTAATACATATTCTTCAGAACTCAGAGATAGCGGTAGGTTTCATTTTTAGAAGGTACACACTATACATTTTTAAAGTGATTTATTTTGAAAACTTTTCAGATTAGTTTTATAGCTATATCAGAAAATGAATGATTGTTTGGTTATTTCATTTACCAAAGATAATTGAAGCAGATATTTATGAAGTCATTGGGAGGTGAACTATCTCCAGTTCAACAGGTTAATCATTAATATTTGGAGGATTTTCTTGCCATGCTGTATTAGGAGGAGAACATCACCGGACAGACATTTAAATTGTTTTATTTAACTAAAACAACAATGTTATGTATTCTGGATTTTTTTCTTCAGAAACAAACATACAATATTTTAACAAAACAAGCATATGAATTTTGGAATGTAGTTAAACATTCAAGTTTTTTAAAATCAGGTTTGTTTTTGTTAAAATTGTTTTTAACTAAAATAATTGAATGAAATATTAAAAAAAAAACCCCAAACAAATTAAATCATCTCGGCTAGCCAGGTCAACAGGAGAAACTTAAAATATTGGCTTCTGCAGCTAACTCAGTCATTTTCACCTTCATTTTCTTGTTTGCTCATAATCTGGAAAAAAAACAGACAA